CCCCTAAAACAGAAGCCAAGGTACCATTTAATTAATCCATTCCATTTATATTCTTTTAGACATTCAATGGTAATTATGATTTATTGATTACTCCTGGTATTATATATATTGGTTTTTGTTCAATATCTTTTCATGTTAAAAATTTTTAGGTGTTTAATACAACAATAAAATGGAAATATCTCTCAGAAGAAAATAGTTTCAACATAATGACAGTGATGACAAAGCCTATTTCAAGACAAAGTTGAAGTAAGATGATCACTTAACAAAGGTATCTGAGTGCCCCACATGAAAGGCTTGAACAAATAAGACTGCAATCTAAAACAATGTATGAGTAAAGTATGAGTAAAAGAATTGATTAATTAAACAGTCATTTTGCTCAGGAAGCATTTTTGTCTAAATATCTAAATTTGTATTGATTATTAAAATGACTAAAGGAAGTAATCCCTTATAAATTTGTTAACTTAAGTTGATTTACCTCACTACTCACTACAGATGGGGCAGGAAATATATAAATAAATATACAGGAAATATATAAATAAATACTCATTGATAATTATTATATGACTTGATTATAATAGGCATGTGACTTCTTGATGTTATTGATCTGGGGAGGCATTCCCAGAATACATCACCTTTGGAAAGTGCCTGAAAACATACCACAGGTTTACCCAAGCATTATTGGTAAAAATGGATGGGCAGAATTATTCGGAAGCTATTAATGTATTGATGTCTTGAGTGTATTTACCAGATGAAGTGGTCTCTCTCAGAAACTGTAACTTATGTCTGCACAGCATTTTTGAAGTATAAGCAGCAGGTAGGCTTTGTGAATGTTGAGCAAACAAAACCATGCCTAGCAGATGGAAATAAATGTCCAACTATTATATAATATATATAATATAATGTATATATTATATATAACATGACAAGCACCAAAAACATCTTAAAAAAAATGCAAATATATTCTGATTTAAAGTATGAAAATAAATTATTTTACGATATCAATAAGTATGTTTTATTTCTTTACATTAAAAGAGAAATTCCTTCTATAAAATGTACTTTTAATACAAAATTAATAATTATTACTAAAGATGGTAAAAAAGATTTATTGTTCAACTGGAAAATTTGAAGGAATTGCTTAAAACAGATAAAGTTGTTTTCAAAATAATAAGTATATTTTCTTATAAGGTATGGTTTCTTTCTCACATTTATTTAAAAAAATATAACATCAACAAACCAACATGAATCTATTTATTTATTTACTATTAACTCACATGATACAGATAGCCTGTTCACCTTTCAAGTAGCTGCTTATAAAAAAAGTTCTAATATAGGGTACTGAGTTGTATATCTATCTATAAAAGGCAGGATGTCTGTGTGTGTGTGTAACAAATGCATAGCCGCAAGTTTTGACGGATTTGCATCAAAATTTACATGCACATGCTCCAAGTTAGTGGGAAGGCCAAGATCAACTTTGCATTTCCCAACTCCCATCGAAAGTGGAAATAATCGATTTTTTCATGCTTCTATGGCAGTTTTCATGTAGTTTGCAGCCATTTTCTACTGGCCAGAGTGAGAGCCAATAGCTGGCTGCCACGAATAGGCAGGAAGATTCTATTGGCCAGCACGAGAGCCAACAGCTGACTGACACGAATGTTAACTAGCATGTTAGCATGCAAAAAAAAATCAATAGCTGCATTCATCACAAGTTGGAAAAATTTAAATTTGCATGGCACTTTACTCCAATTGGCTCATTTGCTTGCTTAAACTCAATGTTGATTCTGATTCCATGAACTGGGTTGGGTGTGAAAAGTATTTGTTAACATTCTTTTTCATTCGCTTTTTCCAGTTACAAGTCCTTTTTAAAGGTGATCGTTTTGTGTTCATTTTGTTTAGTTCTTTTTCGTAACAGATTTAATGTTTAGTATAGAGCTTAGAAAAAATTTGCAGTGTGAGATAGACAAGAAGTAAGGTATGTAGCAACATCAGCATGGCAAAGGGCACTCCTTTAAAGGCAAGGAAGGGCAAAAATATTTTAAGTCAAGTGATAGCAATTGCTGTATGAGTCGTACGATTTTTCAATCAAGCACGGGCAACCCCGGCCCATGCTGCTAGTATATATATATGTTGTGTTATGCATATTTAATAATATTTTTATAATGTATGTTATGTGATGTGAATGTTATTATTTTTCACACATATAATATTTTCTTTTAATCATTTCACCCCCAAGCAAAGCAATAAACCCAATAAGATGCAAAAGGTTACTCAGTGTAAGAGAATACAAGAAAAAACTACTATTAAGGAGAGAGGACAATAAAAGAATGAGAATTAAAAAGATATAAGATAACAATTGAAATGCATTTAACTTTTTGAAGATCATAGTTGATTGTGAAGCAAGAAGGCAGAAGAGAGTTCCACAAGCAAGAAGTGTGATAGAGGAAACTGTTAGCATAGAACTTATGGTTAGCTCTAGCCATTTCAACTATGAAATGATGAGACCTTGCCGCCAATCTAGTACTGTGCTTAAATTCATAAAATTTAGGTGCCATTGAGAAATGTTCATCAGAACAATAACCATGAAATTATTTATAGAAAAGGCACAGGGAGGCTACATTACAGCGGTAGGAAAGTGACTGAAGTTGAGATGCCATGTCAGGCCTAATAACATTGCAGATTTTTCTTTGGGTCTCTAAACATACAGCAAGAATAGCAGACAAAATTTGGCAGCAATATTCAAAGCATGAATGAATGAATGATAGAGTTATAAATGTCTAAGATACAAGATTCTGGAATTTAATATGTGGATTGATATGAAAATGTGTGCTGTAAACAAGTACTGAATTTCCTATTAAAAATGCTATAAAAAGAGAAAAAACGGCCCAAGAACCCCTTGTCTAATTTTAATGAAATTTGGCATTTCTCTCAGCAGGGGTCAAATGTACAATATTCTCCTAAATTAGTTGGGGTATTAAATATTGTGTATCTCAGGAACAAAGATACATGCATAATTAGAATTTTAGTATTATATAGATAAAGTTAATATACATCATTATATCTAACAAATTTATATCTCAGCATATTTTCACATTGTAAGAGCAAAAACAGAGCATAAATATATACATGCATTAAAATGTAATGTCTTTATCTATCCCCTCTCTCTTCTCTCCCCTCCATTTCTATCTATCTATCTATCTATCTATCTATCTATCTATCTATCTATCTATGTGTGTTCATATCTATCTATCTATATATCGCTATTCATATCTATATATATCTATGTATGTTCATTATCTATCTATAGCTGTTCATATCTATCTATCTTTCTATCTATCCATCTATCTTCCTATCTATCTATAGCTGTTCATATCTATCTATCTATCTATCTATCTATCTATCTATCTATCTATCTATCTATCTATCTATCTATGTGTGTGTGTGCATGTTTATTTGTGTGTGTGTGAAAATTCAGATATAAAAATATATATCTGCAAAAAGACAATATGAATAAAGACAAAAGGAAAACCTTCCTTTACCAATGCGTTTCATCCTCTGATGGGCTTTATCGAGGAAAATGTAGATATTTTATTTTGCAACATGTATTTATAAACATAAGTAAAATCATTGTTATGGTTTACAACATTTTTTTAATTTAAGAATGCTCATTAATATTAAATTTAAAAATTTTGCAAAACCTAACAATCCCATTCTTTGATGTTGATGTGGAACTAAAATCCAAAGTATTTACCACCTACCCATATAAAAAAAACCACCAGTACAAACTTTTGTCTTCTAAACTATGATAGCCAATGTCTGGAAAGATATGAAATAGCAGTAATAAAAAACTTCCTAAATTTTAAATAATCCACCTAAATTCTTCTTCCCAAAGAATATTTTTAAGTGCACTAAAACACATAAAACAAACATTAGTCAACAATAATTTCCCCAACAATATAAACAAATAAAATTATTCTTGCAAAAAAACACAATGCAGTAATAAAAATACCACACAACAAAACATCAACATATTTTATGGTAACCAGATGCACAATAATTATGAGCAATATGTACAGGTATAAGCAGGTTGAATTTGCTATACAAAGAATCCTTAAATACCATTTTTCTGCTGTAATTCCTGAAGAACATGTAAAACTTATAAAATATTACAAAAAATGGAAAACTACAGACCTTGCTGTCACTAATTAAAATGCCATCAAATCTAAACTAGCGATGACCAATACAGTGTATCAATTTCACTGCCGCAACTCTCATCTCTTCTCACACACAGAGTGAACCAAATGCTGTAGGATCTCTTTGTAGACTTGCTGATTGATCATCTGACCCTGTGGCAAGAATTCACTGTGAATGATGCTCACAGCTCACATAGCACAGCTAGTCCCGTCAGTTTTCAGACAGACCTCTGTTTCAATTTTAAATAATCCACAAGCCTTAAAAAATATCACATCTTTCTTACTTTGAATCTTTCCTTACTCTGTGAGGAATTTGTCCAGCATTCATGACCATATAGGAGAAGAAAAAGATTTTTGAATGATAGGTTAGATTATCTGAGAATGACTCCTTCTTATTGTAAATATAAATTTCCTTTTGATTCTTATTTTCCTTAAGACTTCCTCATTGCTTACAGGTTCTTAGCCTTTGTCAGTAGAACCACAAGTTGGCTTTGATGACCAGTAAGAATATGTTGCAAAGTTACATAAATATAGAGTATGCTTTTTGTTAAACTTTTTTTTTCCTACTATGTCCTTAGTTTCCAAGAAAGAAATCACTTGAGACTTTAGAACAGAATCTTTTCTATTGTTAATCTTACCAAAACGTTACCACTGTTAATAATCATATTATAATTCTATTTGATCCTTTGTTCCCTAGTTAGCATGTACATTACTCCTAGCCATTACCACAGATATATAATGGACCAATGGGCCATTTCTGTTTGATTCTAAAGATAAACAGAAGAAAAGATATCTCAAAGGTGTTGTTTGCTTTTAAAGAAAGAAAGAAAGAAAGAAAGAAAGAAAGAAAGAAAGAAAGAAAGGAAGAAAGAAAAAATATACTGGAGAATAGAACAAGAAATACAAAAGAAAGAAATAATAGACAGGAGAACAGAGCCAGAGGAGTAAAAAGAAAGAAAGAAATAAAGAAAGAATAGATAGGAGAATCGAGCAAGGTAAAAGAAAGAAAGAAAGAAACAAACAATAGACAAAAAGAACAGAGCAAGTGGAAAAGAAAGAATGAAAAAGAAAGAAAAAAGAAAGAAAGAAAGAAAGAAAGAAAGAAAGAAAGAAAGAAAGAATAGATAGGAGAATCGAGCAAGGTAAAAGAAAGAAAGAAACAAACAAACAATAGACAAAAGAACAGAGCAAGTAGAAAAGAAAGAATGAAAGAAAGAAAGAACGAAAGAAAGAAAGAAAGAAAGAAAGAAAGAAAGAAAGAAAGAATAGATAGGAGAATAGAGAAAAAGAAAAGAAAGAAACAAACAAACAATAGACAAAAGAACAGAGCAAGAGGAAAAGAAAGAAAGAAAGAAAGAAAGAAAGAAAGAAAGAAAGAAAGAAAGAAAGAAAGAAAGAAAGAAAGGAAAACAGAATGAGGGAATAAAAAGAAACAAGCAAACAATACACAGAAGAATAGAGAAGAGGAAAATAAAAAAAAAGAATGATAGAAACAAACACAGAAAGAAAGAAAGAAAGAAAGAAAGAAAGAAAGAAAGAAAGAATATGCTGGAGAAGAGAACAAGAAATACAAAAGAAAGAAATAATAGACAGGAGAACAGAGCCAGAGGAGTAAAAAGAAAGAAAGAAATAAAGAAAGAATAGATAGGAGAATAGAGCAAGGTAAAAGAAAGAAAGAAACAAACAAACAATAGACAAAAGAACAGAGCAAGTGGAAAAGAAAGAAAGAAAGAAAGAAAGAAAGAAAGAAAGAAAGAAAGAATAGATAGGAGAATAGAGCAAGGTAAAAGAAAGAAAGAAACAAACAAACAATACACAAAAGAACAGAGCAAGAGGGAAAGAAAGAAAGAAAGAAAGAAAGAAAGAAAGAAAGAAAGAAAGAAAGAAAGAAAGAATAGACAGGAGAACAGAAATAAATAAATACTGGACACCAGACCAAGGTGAATATAAAAGAAAGAAAGTCAAAAGAGACAGAAAGAAATAGTAGAACATAACAAGGGGAATATAAAAGAAAGATTTGATACTCACTGGACATATTGAAAGCAAGAGATACAGAGGAATACAATGTATAACCTACCTTAGTAATCTTGAGTAAATGGATAGCAGCACTGGGTTTAGGAGAAATAACAAAAAGACAAAATTTATTAAGAGCTACAAAGGGTAAGAAATTCTGAAGAGCCATGTTCAGCAATGTCCTGTTTCCTTAACCCCTACTCAAATTAATTTTTTCTACCCAATATTTTTTAGAACCTAGATTTTTCATAAGATAGAAACAATAAAATGTTTTTTCAGAAATATGTTATTATGTTTTTATTTATTATCCATATTTTTCAGTATATACACTTTTCTATCTCCAAATGTGTGTATCATATATATATATATATATATATATATATATATATATATTTTTTGTTTTAACATTCTTTTATATATACAAGTGGAAAATGTCTGTTTAAATAAACAGTATTAAATAACATTACCAGCCTGAATGTCTGAAAATTTTCAAAGAAAGATTCGTCACAATTCGACACCATCCTATAATGAACCGTCATTTTACGGTGATGTGCCTTAACCGACTCAGCCACAAAGAAGTGTTCGAAGGTCGAATTTATAATTATGAAGTTTATAAGCAGTAAATTTGACCTTGCCCACCGACGCCGCCCTTGTGGCTGAGTCTTACTAAGCGCCACAGCGAAATGACGGTTCCAGACATGCAGGTTCAATCCTGTCAAAGGACTAATATTTTCTTTGAAAATTTCTCAGACATTCAGGCCGGTAAATGTTATTTAATACTGTTTATTATAAACAGAGCATTTACTTAAATACTTGTATCTATAAAAAGAATGTTAAACATAAAAATGTCTTTAATAAATTGTCAGACTTTGTCCAATTCTTAATGTATATATATATATATATAGATAGATAGATATAGATAGATATATAGCACGAGAGAGATAGGGAGAGAAAGACAAGCACATAGACACATAGACTGAAGCTTGCATTCAAACAGGAACTAGACAGTTGTGTCCACTATATATATATATATATATATATATATATATATATACTTTATTCCAGATACTGAGCATTTCTACCCATAAATATAGTATATCTTAAAACTATATTTTTAACATTCATATATATATATATATATATATATATAGCAGCAGGGGTAAAAAAAAGTTTGGAAAGTTGAATTACTAAAGGGAAATAACTGAAATTGAGATATCCAGAAAAGACAAGGCAAGTGGATGGAATAAAGGGTTTGGTTTGAAATTCTTACATATATCACCTGAAGAAGGCTGGAGCATACAACGAGTGAAATGTTGTGACAATAAAGATGAGGACAATAGTCCAAACAATGTAAATAGTGTAAATTGATTCAAGGTGTTTTCTTATTCTTATTTTGATGTTTTGAGCTCTTTGGGATTTAGAACAATAGATAAAAAGTATCAGTTTGAAATTTTGTCCAATAAAAATCATTCAAATAAAACTGAAGTTTTTTTTTTGTTGTATATCAGGAACACCGTCTTAAAAATAGGATTGTATCATATAAGCTGGTGAGTTTTATATTCTGAAAAATATGGTATTTATTTTTATAAATTTTTATTGTCCTCTTTCAGATTTCAAATAAATAAAAATGTAACTCACCCACCAAAATTACATACTGTAAACACTCAAAAAACATCTTTAAATATAGAGCAAGCACCCATGATATGTCAGGATTCACCACCTAAAGACAGACTGCCGTTTCATGAATATTTATATATATATATGTGTGTGTGTGTGTGTGTGTGTGTGTGTGTGTATACAGTGGGGGTGGTAAAAAGTTCTTAACCTGAACATAAATCACTATAAAAAGAAATTCTGATATTTGAATAGATTAAGGGGTTGTGGTTTGGACTATAAACTTTTAAGCATACTATATACACACATGCATATATATATATGTGTGTGTGTGTGTGTGTGTGTGTGTGTGTGTGTGTGTGTGTGTGTGCATATATATATATATATATATATATATATATATATATATATATAAATTTATATAGCCAAAATCCTTGCAAATCAAGAAAATGATTCCCTCTTTAACAGTCATAAAAATTTCACATTTAGCACAGAAATAGCTAAAATTATAACTCTGGTTGCTGTTATTGATCTCAGAAAATTGGTGCTGCTAGGCATAAGAAGTTCAGGATAAACTTATACCTGCAACTAAAATGTAATATGATACCCACATATTTTTGGTTTAGACCAAAAGCTATCTTATGAATTAACTTGTGATGTTTTGAAAAGAGTAAAATATTAGAAAAAAATAGATTCCTATACTAGGGATGTATTTTTTTTAATAGAATTTATCACATGAAAGGCAGTAAAGCCACTAAAACACAAGGGGTTACTGGGTGTGGAAGAATTAGAAAGCAGAAACATTATTAAGGAGCAAGAATAATAGAAGAGTGATCAGGAAGACAGTAGATAACAATTGATATTGCATTAAAATTTTTGAAGATCAAAGTTGGATGGAAAGGATGGAGCCAGAAGAAAGTTCCACAAATGAGATGTATGAAAAAAGAAACTGTTAGCATAGAACTTATGGTTCCATCTAGACAATTCAACTGTAAATTGATGAAACCTCATTGCCAATCTAGTACTGCCCTTAAATTCATGAATTACCTTAATAGTATTAATAAAAAAACTTTACAGTGGTGGGAAAATGACTGAAGTCAAGATGCCAGGTCAGGACCAACAATATTGCTGATTCTTCTTTGAATTTTATCAATAATCTCTAGATATATACCAGGAGCACCAGACCATATGTGGCTGCAATATTTTAAGCATGGATGAATGGTAGACTTCATAGATGTGTAAGATAGATTCTGGAGAGAGAAAATTGTCTTGCACAACACAATGGACCAACTTTCTTAACAGTTGACCAAGAAATGGATTCAATATAGTCTTTCCATTTCATGTCAGTCAAGAATGTTAGCCCGAGTTCATTAGTACAAAAAGAATTAGAAGAGATATAATCCATTAAAGAATTAATATTAAGTTCATATTTTTAAACATTGTACTAACTTAAAATGTTCTTGAAAATCCATCCTTGGCTTGCTTCATGTTTGCAATATATTTTTAATCCAGTGCCAGGCTTTGGTGTTCAAGCTCAAACAAAGGTTAAGATTTTAAATGCTGATTATTTAGGCAGACACTCCCTACTTGGGACATTGTGACTGTACACTCTATTCTATAGTTTTCTCACATTTTCTTGGAAGGTATTAATTCCTGAAGTTCTTTTATGTGCTCAGTTCATTCAGGAGATAGGCGATCATGACTCTCCACGACTTCCTATCCTTTGTAGCTCTTAGTAAGGCTTGTCTTTTCACCATCCCTCCAAGTCCGTGCTCTGCTATTCTTTTACACAATCTCATTAGGTAGGTTACTCACAGTTTCCCCCTGTTTTTCTTGCATTCAATATGTCCAGTGAATGTCAAATTCTCCAATCCCACTTTTCTCGCACTTTGTCTTGAATGAAATTTTCCCCTTTCTTTATTCTTTGTGGAGCTTTTGTAAGGCATCTTTTGCTATTCCAATGCACCTTTTGGCTACTCTGCCCTCCAGGGTTCAAGGGTCTGTTAATCTGGCTAACTTTCAGGAAATTTCTTTCACTATTTACATTATTCAGACTATTGTCCTCATCTTTGTCGCCATATTTATTACAACTTTTTGGCCGTTGTATGCTCCAGCATTCTTCAGGTGGTTGGAATCTCAAACTGAATCCTTTATTTCGCTCACTGGGGTAGATGGTTCTAGTTCCACGTGCCATGTCTAATGGATGTCAGTTATCAGTTATCTCCTGTTAATTCCCCTCTACAAGTTCTCCACTCCCTTAACCAGTGTTGGTTAGATCCAGTGACAGGACCCAAAGAGTGTGAGTTCAATACCCAGTTAAGGCAGTGGAGAACATTCCAACCACCTGAAGAAGGCTGGAGTGTACAACAGCTGAAACGTTGTAATAAATATGGCGACAAAGATGAGGACAATAGTCTGAATAATGTAAATAGTGTACATAATACTTCATCTCAGAAATATAGACAGATACTGAAATTTCATTCAGTTCAAAATTTCTTGAAATTTACTGGGATCAACTTATTGGGATTTCCTGAAGCAGGCTGAAGAGTAGAACAATCAAAGAATTGTTATTATTATGACAAAAATTAGGATATTGGTTTGAGCTTAAATAATGTAAATATACCAGACCAGCCCTCTTTGATTAAAAGACCTGGTTTTTCTATATATTTTTCTTCCCCTCTCACTTGACCTTGTGCCTCATCTTAGGTTGTTGATTTGGTTGATTTTGTTTACTGGCATATCAACTTCTATGGGTTATTTAATGCTGAAATCTAAATATTTTGAATACAATTGTATGCCTTCAACTACAGATAAAATGTATTGTTGGTCAGTTTGCTATAAATTGTATTGCAGTTTATTTTTACTATACATATATATATCTATATATATATATATATATATATATATATATATATATATATATATATATATATATAAAATAAACCTAGTGAGCCAGACAAACCTACCCAGGTTTCACCTAAGCGGATCATCAGGGAAGGCTGGTGTGTATTGAGCTCTTTTAGTTAGTTGTTTACTCATGTCGGGGTTTTTTCTTTGGGCTTTAAACCTGTATCTGTGCGATTTTTTTCAACAGACTTTCATGTTTGTAGCTCTTTCTTTTTTAAAACCTTTTTTTCCTTCGAGATTGATTTGATTATTGGCAAATCAAAAATTCAAAGATTCTTTGAAACGAGTATAGTTACCTATATTTGTATTTATATATATATATATATATATATATATATATATATATATATATATATATATATATATTGTTGGTCATTTTACTATAATTATCTATGGCTGGTCATTTTACTATACTATTTGTTTGTAATTATTTTGACATAAAAATGTATTGCTCATAT